TACTGGGCGTTGGGCTAGAGATGCCCATACTTCTGGCAGACTGACCACTTGCAAAGTCTTTGGCAACGATTCTGGCGCGCATACCTTCCTGAGCTTCCTCTTTCTCGTTGGTAACCCACCTTGTGCCAATGATGCGCTGGCCACTCTCTCTCGCCACATTCTCGGCAAGAACCTGACCTGCACCAACAGCAGTGAGTCCACGAATCTCCTTCTGCATGGCCAAAAAGGTTCCTTCAGCTGGCAAATCCCTGAGCGTGACATCAGACACGGCTCCACTGGGCTTCCAAAGCTTGATCTTCTGACCACAAAAATCCATGACGACAAACTCATCGCAGTAGCCATCGTACTGAATTGACTCCACTGAAAACCGATCTCGCTGAACAAGTTCTGGTGATGTCAACATACCCACATGATATGGCTGCGCCATGCAGACGTCAACCATGGGCATGTCGCCAACGTCCTCGGTGGCCATTTCAACGTCCACAGGCTCGACTGGGTCCGGAGCCAAAGATGGAGAATAAGAACCATCTCTCACCCCACCTTCCTGTACCGGAAGATCCTCCAGATCACCAAGCGATGGCTTGGCAGTCTCACCTGACACAAACTCAGCTTGTCGCTTGCGACATTCGGCAGAGTGCCGGGTACCTGGAGCATTCATACCTGATTCACAACTTGGACAACGGCGCGTCGGGGTCATCCCAGCAGGCAAACCTGGGATGCGCGGCAATGGTCGTGAAGGCACGGCCACAGCCGGGTCATTGGGCTCAACTATTGGTAGTTGTTCCTCAGGCTTGTCGGGCAAAGCTGGCACTTCTCCCTTCTTCTGGTTACGGATCCAATTCCAATAGCGCTCACAGCACTTCTTGGAATGTCGACCTTGTCGAGTGGCACATGAACTGCATCCTTCAGTTCGTCCATGAGCATCAACCCAATGTCGTGGAGGCTGCACCTGATCTGGAAGTCGTGCAAACTCCTCGGGCAAAATCTCAATGGGTGCCTGATCAACAAGCGATGGATGATCACCTGAACCTGAGTGACAAACAAAACGTTCAATGAGATCTTGTGGATACTCAATCGGAAAAACAAGTTTCAAACTCTTCGCTTGGAAAAACTTCAGTTCATCAGCAATTTTCGCACAAACAAAATGAGCAAACGAGTTCTTGACAGGATACAAATACGCAGCAGTGACAAACCGTCCAATACTGTCAACACTTTCTGGGGTCTCTGCAAGAACCCTAGAGCAAAACATGGCGGAAATTCGAGTTCCTTCAGATGTGTTCCTGAGCAATTCCTTTCCAGTCTTTCCTGTGTTCTGGATCTTGCCATGGAGGTTATGCATAGCAGTCACATACCTGGAAGCGGCCTCCCAGGCAACCAAGCTGTCGACCAAATCCAATCCGGCCTTGGCCAGTTCCAAGCGCAAAACAGCAAGAGCTTCCTTGACTTCTCTCACACCACGCTCAACTGATCCAACCATATCATGGTTCTGAGGTCCAGCTTTGTTCACAGTGTACTCCCTTGGCAAACCAGATCTCCTCAGAACAGTTCCGACTTCGTCCTGAGCATCTGTCCTGAAATCAACTGGCGGTCCTTCCAAAGTCTCAAGCAATACAAACTCAGCTAAGATCTGACGCAAATGCTGCCCTGTCACCTGAACATTCTCGCTCACCGCAGTGACACCAAGCAAACCTGAAAACACCTGACGCAGCAAAATCATCTTAAACTTGCTCTCAACCAAACCCAAAAAGAAGAAATCCACCTGAACTTCAAGGATTCTCTCACGCAAACTTCGCCTTGGTGCTCGAGAAACTCCTCGTCCCTGTTGGCATTCCAAACAGTGTGGATCAAACGGGTAATGGCCTCGAAGAACATGTTGACGCAACTTCTCCTGACTTGACAGCTCAACAGCTCCAACCATGCTGACTTTCAAACCCTCTGGCTCGACCACTGATGACTCAACCAACTCCATCGGCTGACTGTCATCCTTCAAGCTCGGTTGTGCTGCCCTGCATGCTCGTAGCCACGGAGTCCCTCCCCACAACAGCACGTCACTAATGAGCGTTCCACTGTCCTCGTGGTAGAGGTACGTCTCTCCAGGTGACTGAATCACACTCCAACCCTTCTTGACCAACTGAGTTGTCGAAATAATGTTGTGTGATACATCCCCAATACAACAGGCCAATTTGAATGATTGAGTCTTCTTCTTTCCAGATGCCCCAGTCACAACCTGAAATGCCAAACTTACCAAAACATTGGCCCTCATGTGAACTGGAGTCCCATTCGCTGCATAGTAGGTTTCCAATGCTCTTGCCGAATCCTCCTGAGCCTGGCAACGATACATGCCCTCATAGTTCTGCGACAGCACCGACGTGGCAGCTCCAGAATCTAACAACCACCAAGTTCCCTCTGAACTTGAAACCTGTGATGAAATGAGCGGCATCATAATCGCTTCTCCAGATTCTTGCTCTTCTTCTTGAGGTCCTTCGGCTGAAACTTCATGCATCTTTCCCTTGCGACCACCTTTTCCTCGTCCAGCTTTCGCTGCAGGCTTGGCCTTGGCTGCACCTGAACCTTTCCCAGTGCTCGAAGACGGAGATGAACTTGCAGACTTCGGACTGCTGGCTTGGCAATTCGCGCCAATATGCCCGCTCTGTCCGCACTTGAAGCACTTCACACGACCCATATTCGTGCTGCAATCCTTCTGCATGTGTCCAGTCTTGCCACACTTTCGACATTTCACTCCTGAATGTTTGTTGATTGCGGCAGTGTTGAGCCACAGCTCACTCTCTGGATCCCATTCCCACTCCTCTTCGGCACCTTCGGCGTAGTAGTCCTGCTCATCTTCGTAGCCATAGTAGGTGCTCCAGTCACCTTCGGCTTCCAAGGCGTGCATATTGCGGCCTGATCCTCCACCCAGTTCTTGGAACAACCTCTGCTGTTGTTCGAACTTCAGGGCTGCTGATCTGTAGTCAGTATAGCCCTCACCTGACGCATGCAAAACGACGTAGTTCTTCACGTCACTGGGCAAGGATCTCAGCAACATCAACGTCAAGTCGACCTGTTGCAAATCCAAGCCAGTCTTGTCGCAATGCTGAGGCAAGGTATCGATCAACTTCCGATACTTGGACAAACCAACGTCCATCTGTCGGACTAGATCACTGATCTGTGTAGGGCCACTCTGTGCCTTAAACGTCTTGGACATGAACTCAGACCTGAAAAATGCAGCTTCCGCTCTTGATCTCAAACTGAACTCCTTTGCAAGCAAACGCAACGCCTCAAAACCAGACGTTCCTCGCACTGCCTGAAAAGAACCATCCATACCAATTCCTTCTGAATAGGCCTGTAGGATCATATGAGCTCGTGGATACTCTGCAAACGCCTGAGTTAGGATGGCCAGCAACCTGGCACTACGAAGTTGCTGTGCAGGTTTCAGATTCGTCATGTGCAGTTCGTGCGGCCAACTCAGCGCACTTTCAAGCTCCCACCCAAACGTATCACTTGCCAAAGCTACCCAGCTTCTCAAAGACTGAACATAGCCGGCAAAACCCAAAATCTCCTGTTCACGTGTCTTCCAAGTTCCATGCTCACACTTGGGCAATGGAGGAAGCCACTTCTCACTCTTAGTAAAGACATCCCTGTCATCCTGTGACGACGCTTCACCCTGAGTGTTCTGTGCAGTACCCTGCCCCTGACGAACTTCACTAATCAGTCTCTGAGGCGACTGCTGCAAACCTGGTGGCTGTTCCACAGTGTTCCTTGGAAAATTGGGTTGTGGACTGGTGGGTGGACGATCTCCAAATGATGACAAACCACTTGAGATAGAAGGTGATGTCTTCGCAACTGGTACCTGAGCTGGTTGTGATGCAGCTTGCTGCACCTGTGCCTGAGCAAACACATTCTGTTGATGAACTACCTGTTGTTGCAAACCATTCAACCTCATGTTAAACTCACCCATAGCCTGGTTCAAACTCAAAGACACTATCTGGGCTATCTGAGTCATCTGCGCAGTGGAGAAAACTTCTTGCTGTCCAGTTGGACTTCCTGGCATACTTCCACAACCACTGGCAGCTTTCGGTGGCGGCCAGGCAAACCTTGTCCGCCCTCCGGCGAGTTCATCCTGAAACGTTGAGGTCCTTGTGCAGGCTGTTGCTGTTCCTGAGTCGTAGGCGTACGAGTGGGACTTCTTTCCCTCTCTCCACGCTGTGTCGGTACCTGACCCGCACCGCCGCTTGCAGATGCGTCGGCCATACCTGAAACACAAACAAGATTCACGCAAGACCTGGGCAAAGTATAAACTCACAAACACGGTTCCTGGATCCACAGACAAACCAAGATCACACAGATCTGTGGTAGGAGCACGAAGCTCCGCTACCGCGTAAAACTTTGCACCGCTAAGTTGTGCCTTGAAAACCAAAACAAAACCTATCGCGATCAAAGTTACCCAAAGGCTTTTCCACAAATAAACAAACGTGAGTCAAACTTTCCGTGCTCTCTCGCTCAAATCACTCCAGACAACAAGCAACGCTTCAACACACACTCTGTTTCTCTCGCTCGGGCTTGAGCCAACGAAGGTCGTTGGGCATTCAGTTCAAATACTGTTTAAAGGTGACAAAAACCAAGGAGGGGTTTTTGTCTAAACTGCAAACTGGATTCCAGTCTTGACGAAATTCCGAAAAGCGATCCACTGAGGATCAAAAGCTTTCATTCGGTTCTCAAACTGTTGAAATATTTCCAAACTGTTCAAATAATGTTCGGTTTCCTACAAAAACATCACAACTCTCAACTACAAAACGAGACGAGTGCAACCGCAGTGTCGGTTGTGCTCGTTGAGTGTCACAAGATGGTCTACGCTCCATAGAGCATCCAAAAACATTCAAAAGTATATCTTCCACAGATGATATTCGGTCAAATCAAAACTACACGATACTTGGTGAAATCAAAACTGTGCAACGTCACTGATCTCTCAGCGCTATACCAGGTAGGATTTTCACATCTCCAAGGATCGCTTGTTTCCGCAGTGGCACATCTGGGAGTCCTACGTTGGGATGGAACAGCAGAGAGCTTTGCAACTTTGCAAAGAATTATATAAAACGTTGAGAGGAACAAAAAAGATAAAGCAGATCGAACTGTTGTGCTACACACAGGTGTAACCACTCTTGAAATCCTTTGAGACCTCAAAACATGAATGTTCAATCAACTTCAATCAAGATTTGCCCGGCATTTCACGTTTGTTGCATCGCGAGCGCAAGGCAGTTGGATGCCTTGAGAAGTTCCCATCCCATTCAAGTGCCAATCAAAAAGGCCGAGGAGGTGAAAGAGGTCTTCGACGCTATCTCTTACTGCAAGGGTGGCAGTGTGGTGCGGATGATCTATCGGGTCCTGGGGGAGAAGCACTTCCAGGAAGGTTTGCAGTTGTACTTCTCGCGACACAAATACAGCAACACCCGAACCATCGACCTTTGGAATGGCTGGAAGGAAGTGTCTGGAAAGCCCATCGACAAGATGATGAGTTCATGGACTGAACAGATGGGTTTCCCAGTGCTCGAAGTCAACGGGTCAAGTGGAGTTGAAACAGAGTTGGTTTCTGACCAATAAATCCAAGGAAACAGGTGATGACGCAAAGGTGTGGTTCTGCCCCGTATTTGCGAAAATCCAACAGGACCTAATTACAACCACTAGTCGCGCTCCTAACGTCGCAAGGGGTCGGCTTAACTCCGCGTCGAGCGTTTAACAATTTAAAACCCAAAAACACGACGGCTTCACTGCGAACTCTCAAATCCTTTTTCCACACAGGAAAAACACGAAGGCAAGGAAAGATGTCTGTCATGCACATGCAGCATGTTATAGTTGGACTTCTTCTGTTTCAGCTGCTTTGCCTTTGCAACATGCAACGGCGGCGGTTGACAAACATCATCAACATGTTGGTGAATTCAGTAAGGCTGAATTCACCATCTTTCCAAAAATAAATCATCTCCACTTCCATCTTCTCTTCAAACGCACTGTTTGCACAAATTTCAAAAACATCCAAACTGTTGACAAAAATAGTTGGCAGCTTCCGAAAATAAAACGCATCATGCAGAAAACAATTCCAGTCAAGGTTGTTGTTGAAAACGCATGCACATGCATTTTGAAAAACAACGTTGAGCTTGTCCAAAAAGTCGTCCGTACCAAAATCATCTCCAAATTCATTTGCAGTCCAGAAAACCTCGTTGCAAATGAATTTCAGTTTCAAAAACCTTCTTCTTCACCAAGTTGACGAAAAACATTCACATGCACACAAAACGCATCTTCACGGTATTGTAACCAATTCCAGTTGTCCTCAAACCATTCTGCATCAATTTCAGAGTTCTGCCCAAATAAACCATTAACAACATCTTGTTGTAGCCACCATGCAAGTTACATCCAGAAACGTAGCACATGCAGTCCATATGCACGGGAGTGTATATTTCCATACCCCCTTTTGCTGCGTTTCCCATTCATAGACAGCCAAAATCCAGAGAAGTCTCAAAGGCTCGCATGCCACACGTATATATAAAGCTGTCATCTGTTCAACCTCCAGTGAGGACTTGCACACGAAGTTGCATCTTCACACCAGTTGCAGATGTATTGCAAAAATACCTGTGTACTCGAATTAGCCTTGTGTTGTAATCCATTGACCGTGTCCACATTCTCATTGATGTAGAAAGAAAACGAAAACGAAAAAGCAGTGTCAAAGTGCCACATTGAAATTGCCCCACAACGAATTCCCTGCAGTCCAGCTCATCGCAAAGGAAGCCCAAAGATTCTGCAGAGAGGATTCATTGCAACAAATTCCAGGCACATTGCACATGCAAAACCAAAATCGCCACATCCAGCTCCATATTGGCATCCGCAATCACCCCATCAGCGCCAAGCAAATTCACGTTGGTAGACATAGCCGGCATTGAGAAATGCGTCCACCCTGCAGTGAATTAAGAATGCACAGAAATCAGGACCCTGTGTCCTTGGCGTTCGGTTCAGTTTCTTACGGAACTGGCCAATCATCTTCTTTGCGTAGCGGCACTCCTCCATGCTTTGGTTGAAGACCCTCACAACAAAGTCATGGTAGGTGATGGGCTTTTCGGCAAAACGGCCCATTTTGAGAAGCGTGCATGACCAGTGATATGTATCCTTGATCCATGCAGGTTGTGGCACATTGAAATCGACCTCTTCATAGTCGATGGTGGCATCCTTCCAGTTTTCATCCCACTTGTGGGTTGCTGGCAGTCCTGATTGCACCTTTGGAAACAGTGGCGGGGAGTCGCCGGTGTCGGAGATGAACGAAAAGCTTCCGAGGACACTGCTGGCACTTTCAGCATCCGAATTCGACTCCACAGCCTCATGCCGTCTCTTGGAGCCATCGGTCATAGCGCCATTGTCATGCATTTTGTTCGAATTGCCTTCCACAACCTCCGGAGGCTCTTCGGAGATGCGTGCACACTTCGAACCAGAAGCTTTGGGAGCAGGTAATGTCGGCCCTTTTGGACCCTGCTTCCCTTTGTCTCCTTCCTTCCCTTTGGAATCACCTTTGAATTCTCCCTTTGCCACATTCTTGCCACCTTTGTCATCCTTGCCACCCTTCTCAAATTCCTTGCCGCCTTTTGCAGATTCTGGCTTACCACCTTTCTCGAATTCTGGCTTGCCACCTTTGGAAGCGTCAGGCTTCCCACCTTTGTCATAGCTCTTCCCTTTGCCTTTCTGCTCCTGGAACGCTTTCTCACTTCCAATTGCAGATGCAGGCAATATCGGTGGGTCTGCCTTTGCTGCGGGAGGTAGAGGAACCTGTGCATTGAATTTTGGAAATCCTGCAGACTGACCATCTCCATCAGCACAGTAGCGGTTGGCAATCTCAGCAATGGCCGCAGCAGCAGCTTTAGCCTCTGCAATATCCGCATTCTTCTGCACCACATTTCCAAAAATTTGTATCACAGGCTTGTCATTCTTCGGGTCTTTGCCATCATCCTCAATCCAAGGGTCGTCATTGGCGTCATATGGCCTGTCTTGCCATTTCTTGTGGTATTCACGTGCATCGACGAACCCTGAATTCCCTCCAGCTTGCAACGTAGGCGGAGGTGCTGCCGGAGGCACCTTGTATGCATTCTGGTTGTAGGCATCCGGCCATAGGGCACCAGGTGGTGCAGCCGATGCAGCCGATGAATTCGTGCCTGTCGGAGCATGCACTTTGGAGGGACTTGGAGGCACATGCGATTCTTCACATTCTTTCCAGTCATCATCATCCGGTGGGTAGTGTCGATTCATAGGGGCATTCTTGACCTCTTTCTTGTGCACGGTCAAGAGTTCATTCATCTTCCCACCTGCCTCAGCCTTGCGCATAAGCTCGCGCAATTGGTCCCATTCTCCCTGCGTCATGTCCGTTCCCAAGACTGGGTCATTGGGGTTGTAAGGCATCGAATTCCCCTTCTGTCCATACCATCCAGAAGCATCACTTTGCCAGTGCTGTGGTTTTGAAGCCATGGCGTCACATCAGAACCTAATTCCTAATTGTGAACTGTTTCAACCCTCACACACACGCAGGAGTCGAGTGCAGCAGTTTAGCCGTTTCAGGGGTACCTAAGTATCCGCAACTGCTGAGTTGGGCGTGTAAGTGAATTCTGAAACCTGACATCCTTAGTTCTCCAGGCAGTGTTCTGACTTGCATTCTGTATCCAAAACGTTGCAAACGCAAACAAACTTCTGTCCAACTCTGTCCACATCAGTCCAATGCAAAATCAACTGAACATGCAGACATGACTGAACATGCAAAATCACTGTGTTTCTACATCAATGCAGTTCTTTGACAACAACTGTCTCTCACATCACAACTGTGTTTCGCGTACGCCAGTGCTTCGCAAAAAGAAAACAACTGTGCTTCACATGACTGCTGTGTTCCACATCACTGTCGTTTGGTTTCAAATTTGTTTGAAATAAGACATGCAAAACATCGTTGGTTCACACATGTCAAAAAAAAAACTTTCCTTCACACATCACACGCCCCCCCTTTTAAACTGGCGGCGTCCGGAGACGTGCAAAACTAAAACCAAAACAGTTCCACCTGCCACGCAAATTTCTTCAAGAAAATCATGCAACAAGCAGGTCAAAAACAAGACAAAAACGTTTGTTTGGGTTTCGGTTGTTCCATGCGACATGCAAAAATCATGAACATGCTCAGGGGTCCTTTCTTCCAGCACGAACTGCGGCCAAAATGGCCTTTGCCAGTTCTTTGTTATACACACCGGTTGCTGTCCAGTTGACATCGTACATCCCTGCATGTTTCTCACATTCGCACCAACCAAAACGCCTTGTGAGCAAATTGCAAAAACCAGCTGACGCACTACAAAAGATAAGCACTTTACCGATAGGCAGTCCATTCGGTGCTTGCATACCGGTTTGACATAAAAACACCTCAGCATCAAACTGCAAACCACATTGTTTCAAAACTCGTTTGGTCTCTTCGCGTTTCCATATGTTGTTGTTTCGGGGCAGTTCGAAAGACCTCGAATTCCCAAGCAACAAATACTTAGAGACGTTCTCCATGATACCTTTCCATGACCTGTCTGCCTCTGACTCAATCGTTGCAGAAAAATTCTTGAGTGGAGACCCTGAGCTACAAGGAGTAGAAGCGTGCACATGCACCCAACGGTAGCCTAACTGTTGGTGAACCTCAACAAACTCTTTCACCTTTTGAAACATGTCCGCAGTTTCCATTCGTTTGACTATACCGATATAGGGCATGCGTGCAACTTTGCAGGCTTCTCTCAAAGCTGAATTAGTCCCACAACAAACTTCCACAAACGCAACATCTTGCTTGTGATCAACCCTACTGTTGATGAGCATGACATCGCGCACTCTGTGCAGGTCTTGCATAGGTACTTCAGGAGTCTCAAACCCTAAGCTTGTGCGGTGTCTCAGGAAATCTTTGGTCCCCAAACATTTGGTAAACAAATCTGCCACATTGTCCGTTCCGGCCCTGTGTTCAACCAAAAGTTCATTTGAGCTAATCTTAGCTTTCATCCAGGCCATACGAATTTCAACATGCCGACTTCGTTTGGGTATATCTTGTCCAACCAACAATTGCAAGGCTGAAGAGCTATCTGACTCCAGCAAGATTTGCGGCACATCTCTCTCTCGCATTTCACCAATCCCTGTGTAAACACGATGGCAAAAATTGCTAAACGCAACTGATTCTTGGGCAACCATTTGCAATGCATACAACTCTGCTTCACAAGAGGACAATGACACAGACTGCTGTTGTCTAGCCAATGACCTAACCAATGCACCTTCACAAAACACAACTCCACCAGAAATTCCTTTTCTACCATTGAATCTGTATGGAGCAAACGATGCATCAGAGAATGAATGCAAAATTGAATGTCTTGCAGGCCCAATCATCAAATTCTCGTATTCTGGGGATGGTAACCTCAAACATGTTCCCACATCCTCAAACAGAAATCGCAACAAAGAACGAATGGCGGCTTCAGTGCCTTGGTTGGGCTTTGCTTGCTGACTTCCAATTAGACTGAGATACAGTTTCAGGTCGTGCCTAGACTGTGCCATCCACAGAAGCTTGCCAAGTGCTC